AAGTAATAGAATTATTTATAATTCAGTATATAAATCTTATTATTATGTATATATTTTATACATTCTGTATATTTTCTATAATTTTTATTAATATTTTGATATATATTTTTCTATAGAGAAGTAATGCCTAGCTAAAATTAATCCTCTAAATGTTATTTTAAATATATAAAATAACTACTTATCAATTCATTATCATAATAATATTTATTTTTTTTTATTTTTTGTTTTCACTAAGATCATAGTTATCAATGACTATTGCCTTTATTGTATTTTAATTATGATTATATAACTTGTACAAGGTGAGTATATAACTAGCCATATGTACAACTTTTGGTTGTCTAATTTAAGTAGTCTACTCATGTAGCAGGTTTTACACTAGCTGCCATATCTGCAATCTACTAGGAGATTACCTATTTAAATACTCTAATCTTTATACTTACACTGACAAATAGTACACAAGTTCCTGTACACCTAAGTAACATCTAACCTAACTATGACCTCTCTGTCTGTACATTCATCAAGCTGTTACACATTTCAGAGTCTATTACCTGACTTGTAGGGCTCTAGAAGGTCTCCTGCTAACTAACTACTTACATTTAGTATCTTGTTAACAGGACTTGCCTTTGCAAAATTTACTCAAACCCTGATACTAACTTCATAGCATATTTCTAGTACTTTAGTATATCTCTGTTTCCAACCTCAAATTCCCAATACAGATAGCCTGATAGGACTATGACCTGTCTATAGTAACCCAAAGTCTGCTCTTAAGGTTCTTTTCTTCTGGTTCGAGACTTCTGGCAGCCTAGGTAGTGGTACCTCTTACCTGAGGTTCTTGCTTGCCTGATTCTTTCCATATTGGTATCCATTTTCTAAATCTAATCTTTACAGTAGTATTGTCAAAGATCTGTGTTACCTCTCTATTCAGGTCTTTTCAAGTGGGCACCAGATTTACCAATTTACAGATTTATATAACCATAAGGACTTATCTTGGGTTTGCACTACCCGATGCCAGTTTGCATTTCTTTGTATAACTCCAACATTGCACAGATATCTTATGACCTGCCAGTTATCTGGTGTAACCATGTTACAGATATTGATCCCAACTGATCAACAGATTGCTGTTGTCATAGTACTGGACACAAGGACTTATCTTGAGTTTGCACTGCCTGATGCCAGTTTGCATTCCTCTGTATAACTCCAACATTGCATAGATACCCATAGTACTGATATACATAGGTGGTTTTCTAAATTTTCACCATCAGTGAGTTTTGAACTTCCTACCTACCATTTGGAGAGTTGACAACTTATCCACTTTACTAAGTCATCACATTCCATATCATAATAATATTTATTAATATAATTAATTTAATAATTTTTTTTCATTAATTCTTTAAAATAAAAAATAATTATTAAAAACTTAAAATTATAAAAACTGATCAAAAAAATATAATTACACTAGAAAGTCTTATTTAATATACTTCTAGAAGATTATAACTATAATTATTTATTTGAATCCAATAAAAAATTATTAAAAAAACAAATAGTAACAAATAGCTCAGTAGTATTAATAAAAACTTAGTACTATTGCATAAATTGAAGAATTAAAATCATTTTAAAAGTGGTTTAGATCGCAGATAAACTAGTCTGAGCTTCTACTCTTTTTATAATATTTTTAATAGTAAATTTATACTTTATGTAAAAATTTCAAATAAATATTCAATAAAGATAGAGGCATGGCCTCACCATTAATATTAAAAAAAAAAAATCATTTTAAAAGACAATAGAATATTTCAGTAATACTTTTGATTATAATAAATATTACATTTATTGAACTATTTGAAATATATAAAATAATTAATTTATTACTTATCATTATTACTTTGTTATTATAAATTTTTTTTGTTATATGAATTTTTGGTGTTTGATGTATTTGTCACGTGATGTCCGAAACTTTTTTGGGTGGCCGGTCATCAATGTAATGTTTATTATTTACGAAGATAGTCTAAAGTCTGGTACGTATAATCGATTTATAAATTAAAACTCACGTGAAACTACAAGGTGTTCCATTTCTAATCGTAACTCATACAAAATATCAATTAGGCTTTTCTTCTATTAAAGTCTTAAGATATTTTATATCATTCAAGTTTAGTTGACGTGATTTCTTACAAGTGGCGGAAGTCTTTCAACGCATCCATATCTTTGAAATTAGTGGGTTTAAATCGGAAAATGAAATGAAGATCCCATTTAACGAAATAAATAGACTTTTCAGGAAATTAAATAAAGTTGATACATCGCTCATTTGTAAATAAATACGTCATCTATTTCTGACAAAATTAGATCCCGCACGTTAACTTTGTAACCCTCTATTGATTGAAAGCCTGCTAACACCTAAGTGTTTAGCAGTTGTTCGAATTTATAACCCTCCTAAATTTTTTTCGACTCAAAAGTATAATACTTAACTAGAGTTATATAGATATTGGTTATCTGGTCATTATTAATTAGTAATTGTCACTGCAAATCGATTAGCATCTACATACGTGCCAGGTAATAAACGTTACATTGATCATGCCGAAATTAATAACTTATCGAATCGGCAGAATAATCACTCATTGTATATACGGTGCAAGAAATCTAAAACCACAATTACACCTTATAGAGACAAAATATAAGCAGTACTGTAATTTGATTTAGAGTTCCTATCCATTATCCGTTTATCCATTTATCTCGGATATCAGTTTTACTGATGCTATCCGGATAATAATCCGAATAAATTCAGATCTGGATAAAATGGGTCCGGATTGGAACTCTAATTTGATTAAAAGGTTAAATTACAAACAGATGATCAAGTAGTGGTAACACATTAAAATTAATATTTCTTAAATTATCGACTTCAATAAGGTATTTTATGATTTAAGTACGTACATAAAAATTTTATATATTGATATTGAACAGTTAATTTCGGCAACAAGTCCGAAAAGGATTACTATAATTGCTTGTACAAACAAAATTAAAAATAAAAAAGAATGTCTCAATCTTCATTTTCTCCGCAATATTATGAGATATTACAACTACACCAAAAAAGTAATGAATATTATAAAGACAAATCCATAGTACAAGTAAAAGAAGAATCGTTTAGTAGCATTCCTGCAATTCCAGACAATTTCATCATCGACGAGGTTAAATTAGATGAAAAGTATAGAATTAAAAGCAAGGAATATTTGGAGGATGGATTGAAAATATATGAGGATGTTATTGATGAAAAATGGAAAGATTTTAATGATG